AGCAAGTGTTAAAAGAAACACAAAGTGTCATAAAAAGGAAGAGACTGTTTCCAGTAGGGAAAATCAAAGAAGGTATCCTGAAGAAAGTAGCTTTTGAACTGGGTTTTGAAGGATAGCTATAATTTGGATATGCAGTGATAGGGAGAACACTTCCAGTGTAAAGAAAAACGAAGTTGTAAGGAACTACAACCGTGACAGGGCACTTTGCGTGGACGAACAGTTAGAGTAGAAAATGGTAAGAAACAGTTTGAGGACAAAGCATGGAGAAGTTTTCCATGTCAGGCTAAGCAGTTTAGATTTTAAATACAATCAGGTTTGGGAGCAAGGGAGTAACAGTGATTAGAAGGAAGATCAATCTGACAACAGTATTTGAAATGAATTTGAGGGGGAAAAGATAGATAACAAAATTAGCTACGATGTTATTAAAATAATCCAATATAGAAGTAATGAAAGTGGTGGCAATGGGACTGGAAAAGAGAGAATGGACTGGAGAAAATGGAATAAACACATTATTATGACAGCAGAACCACTCAAACACTTATGATCAGACAGCAGCATAAGAATAAGATCTTACTTCGGTAGAGTAAAAACTTTCACCTCCCAAACTAGTTCTTCCCAACTTTCCTACTATTCCCATTGGTTTCCAATTCAATCTGGCTGGAAACTCTGAATCCTTTTCTTTCTCTTGCAATTCCTACCCCGCCATTACCAAATCTGCTCAATCTTCACAATGTCACTAATTCTCCCTTTTCTCCCTAGTTCTACTCCTTATCACTATGAGTTGGAATCAACTCGAAGGCAATGGGTTTTACCACGTCTTCTACTTTTAAACAAAAGAATAATTATTTCTAGATAGTTCTGACAATTTTAAAAAGAACTACTTAAATAACTAAATGTCTAGACTCCCAATTCCCATTTAAACTCTAAATAGAAGCACATATTGAAAGCAAGAATTCACATGCTAGGGCCCCCTCTGCTGGATCACTGGAAGAAAATCCGAATCTTAAACTTGGGCTCTTAATGGCTTTTGCTGAACTGCTGGAAATAACAAAATAGACTGCTTTCCTTCATTGTAGCTCCTCTCCACATATATCAAACACCCTACTCAGCAAGGGAATCATGAAATACCTTTCTCTTTATTTTTCAAAGCACTGATAATTTTGTTGCTGCTTAAACTGATTAATTTTGAAATATTTTTATAGTCAAACCTCACAAATATTTAAGTAATATACTCAATAAATTTAACTCTGTCACTAAGAGGATAAGCTGGAATTCACCAGACTGATTTTTTTATAAATAAGCAAATTACACTAAAGAACAATTTTATATTCTACTCATCAAGAACTAAGGTGCAACTCCCTTGTCAGCTGACTTCTGGCTGGCTTCCATCAAAGAAACACAGAGACAGTATACTGGAGGTTGGGAGAAAGGAGAAACCAGAGTATTTCTCCCGGTCTTTCTCTCTACCTAAGGCTAAATCTTTTCCTTGGATTCAGCTCCTTCTGGACAGGTCAAGTGACCCTGGCCCCTGGCTGCCAGGACCTATCTATTCTCCATGTCCCTCCATCTTATAACTGGCTGCTTCTTGCTACCGCTCATCTCTGGGTTGCCTCACCATCCCCTTTTTCGCTTATCAGGTCTTTTACCATCTATATAACTGATTCTCTGCATTAAAGTCCTTCGGAGCTTCCCAATTCGAGAGTTACCTTCCCAAGATAAGTGTGCTTATATCACAGCACTACTCAAAAACTCCTTACAAAGTAGAAATACCATACACAGCATTCAAGGTACTCCACAATCTGACCTGATTCTGTTACAATCTCATCTGCAACCACTTTTTCCTAAATATCCTCCTCTCTAGTCACATTATTCCACAAAAATGCCTTGTTCTTTCATGTCATTCTATACTTCTTGCTGTCCATCCCCCAACTGAAATGACATCCTTTTCCATCTTTCTACTCATTTCAACCCAAACAACCTTTGTAGGCAGTTTAAATGCCTATTCCTGCTCTAATTCCCTACAGCAAAGTGAATCACTTCATTTTCTACATTTCACTAGCAGTTTGTAATTCTATTATTAAAACAAGGCAGGATAGTAGAATGGAAAGAGTAGAGGTTTTGGAGTCAGACAGACCTGAGTTCAAATCTCAGTTTGCCACTTATTAGCTGTGTGGCCTTGGGTAAAATACTTAATGTTTCTTTTTTCAACTACTGTAAAATATATATAAAATTTGCCATTTTAACCATTAAGTGTACAATTCAGTGGCATTAATTACATTCACAATGTTGTGCAACCATCACCATTTCCAAAACTTTATCATCACCCCAAACAGAAACTCTGTACCCATTAAGCAGTAACTCCTCATTGTCCCTTCCCCCTAGCCCCTGGTAACCTCTGATCTACTTTTTCTATGAATTTGCCTATTCTAGAGATTTCATATAACTGGAACCATACAATATTTTTTCTTTTGTGTCTGGCTTATTTAACTTAGCATAATGTTTTCAAAATTCATCCATGTTCTAGCATGTATCTGAACTTCCTTGGCATGGCTGCATAATATTCTATGGTATGTATATACTACATTTTGTTTATCCATTTATCTGTTGACAGATACTTTGGTTGTTTTCATCATTTGGTTGTCTGAATATTGTGAATAATGCTGTAATGAATATTCATATGTAAGTATCTGTCTGAGTTCCCGTTTTCAATTTTTCTGGATATATACATAGGGGTGGTATGTGTAACTTTTTGAGGAACCAAACTGTTTTCCACAGCAGCTACTCCACTTTATATTCCTATCAGCAATGCATAAAGATACTTAACTTTTCTGAACTTCAATTTCCTCATCTGTAAAATGGTGATAACACTTCACAGGGTTATTATGAAGATCAAATAAAACATATAATGGGCACATAAGAATCTTCAGTAATGTCAGTTTCCTTTCCTAATTTCTGTTTTACATTAAAGTTTGCATATCTATCTTCCCCACTAAATTATAAATTAGGTGAAAATAGCACTGTATTTTGGTCATCACTACTGTTGTCAGCTGCTGTCCAGTCGGTCCCTGACTCATGGCAACCCCATGCACAATGGAACGAAACATTGCCCAGTCCTGCGCTATCCCCATGGTCAGTTGATAAGACCATTGTAATCCACAGGGTTTTCACTGGATGATTTTTGCAAGCAGGCCAACCCAGGACTTTCCTTCTAGTCTGTCTAAGTTTGGAAGCTCCATTGAAACCTGTTCAGCATCGTAACAATACACAAGGCTCCACTGACAGACTGGTGGTAGCAGTGTATGAGGTACAGTGACTAGGAATTGAAGCAGGGTCTCCTGTGTGGGAGACAGGAATTCTACCACTGAAACATTATAGTCCCCAAAAAGACTTATAAAGGCTCTGCACAAAATAAAGCATACAGACTCCAACTACAAAACCAATCACACCCTTAACACATTAAATATTTATTGTTGAACAATAAAATATCTGGGATTAATTTAAAAAGAGCTATATTAATAAAATTCTCAATATTCTATTCTAAAATAACCTAGTTTGCTGAGCAAAAATACTGATTTAACTAGTAACCTTGATTCTTTTTGTTATAATCAATTATTCTTAAATTTTATGAAGAAATAACAATGAAAGAATGAGGAAAAAACTTAAGTTACTGTTAAGGGGGGGAATCCATTTTAAGAAAAATGTTTTCTAGAACTGCATGGATGACTCTTACTGACATTATACTGAGTGAAAGCAGTCAGACATAAGAGTACACACTGTGTGATTTCTCTTATATGAAATTCTAGAAGAGGCAAAATTAATATATGGTGATAGAAATCCTATGAGTAGTTGACCGGTACAGAATGAGGCAAGGTGCAGAGGAGCATGAAAGAACTTTCTGGAACAGTAAAACAGCCTACATCTTGATTAGGATATATACAATTATTAAAGGCCATCAATGGGTACACTTAAAATCTGTGACTTTTATTTTATGTTAATTATACCCCAACTTAATCAAAGTAAGCCATATAGAGCCAATTTCTTTAACAGAAGGGAAACAAGAAGCAAAAAGTACCAAACATGTTCCATTACCTACCTATGTTATTAAATAATTAATAAAAGCTGAAAGGAAAGCTATTTTTCTGCCAGAAAAAAGGAAATTATTAGATTAACTGATGTGAAGGTCTTCATTTTAAGAGCTATAAAAAAAAAAAGACTGAAGCATCAGGTAAGCACACATTTGGGACTGCTGCTGCTATCAACTGTGAGTTTCACAGGAAAACACTGTTTTGGCTGCTAAAGTAGAAAATGTTCATATTAGATGTTATTATCATAATACTATCAATGGTAACTTTATTTGTTATCATAATTATAACAGCAATTACATTTGCCAGACACTGAAGAAATAACCAAAAAAGTATTCCCATAAAGAACAACTGCTACCTGATCATCTTAGAATCTAGCTAAGAAATTAGAAAACTAACAAAAATTTCTAGGAAACTGGTGACATTTTAATAGCTCATTCTTAGACATCTTCATGTAACCAATACTTTTGTTACATCAATATTAAAAAAAAAAAAGTTGCCATCAAGTCAATTCCAACCCATAGTGACCCTATAGGACAGAGGAGAACTGCCTCAAAGGGTTTCCAAGGAGCGTCTGGTGGATTTGAACTGCTGACCCTTTGGTTAGCAGCCGAGCTCTTATCCACTGAGCCACCATGGTTCGAAATCAGTATTAGTTGCTTGAAAAAGACTCTATACTTGTTTAAAACAGTTTTTTGGAAAAAAAAATCTATTATCCATTTATCATTTATAAAGAATAACTCGGTGGAGCCTCTTTCTTTAAACATTCCTTTTGATAATCTTATAAATTATTACATACTGCAGATACACTGCAGTGACAAATTAAAGCAAGCAAAAACACCAAACTCTCAGGGCCAACTAAAAACAGAACAAAATTTATATTTCCAACAATTCAAGATAAAAATATAGTTCCCTTACCTCATTATCATCATCAGAATCATTCCCAAACACTGACGGTTTTTGCAAAACAGGGTTCAACTGCTGTGTTTTCTTTGGCAAAATAAGCCCATACCTGTATTTTTTTTTTTTTGAAATAGAAATTACACCATTATCTTTAAATGTTAAAAAATAATACATTCACTACCTCTTCAGATGATGCTACCAAGTAAAAAATGTTATATCCTATGAACACATCACAGACGTTCTGATTTTCAATTATCTCAAGACTTTAGTAAGCCATAAGATTTAACAATTATTACTCTTTTGTGTGATTATTTGTGATTATTTGTGGACATGAGCCTAGCTCAAATACCATTTTTATCAAAGAAGAAAAGTAACCGAAGAGTTCAGAGATGTTTTAGATAGTGAAGTCATAGTAATGTTTTAAAAAGGATACGTTAGTGGAAAGCTCATTTCATGACCACCAAAAATAAAAACGTTCTAAATTATCCCTGTAGTCTAACAAGAGTCAAGAAAATAGCTAGACTTTTCTTCTACTGGGTACTTTTAAAGAAGTTATTGGATAATGTAACTCACACGAAGTAACTGGGGAACCCATCGTAATACTCTTTTACAAATATGGAAACTTTAAGAAAGAGTACATTAACTGAGAAACACAAGTAGCCATGGAATAAGTTCCCATTACAGTTCAAAGCTCCCTTGCTTTGTCTTGGAGCATCTGAGAGAATCTTCCCACTAGATCCAACTCATTTAGTTTCTCCTATTTTGGTCTTTTAAGATTAAGACATCACGGGAAGCCGCATCAAAAAAAAAAAACGACTACATATCAAAAATAAAACCTCCAAGTAGGTACAGTATTCGTCTCTTTTGCGGCAACGTATACCCCAATACCCTAAATGCCTACCCTTGTCTGTGGCTTCTCAACACAACATTCCTAAAACGAGAAGGGAGGGCGGCAATCAGGACTTGAGCTTCTGCCAAGGAGAACAAGGCCCTCTAAGGAAGCCAGGAATGGTCTCTCTTCTCATTGCTCCTGAGAGCATCCAACCGGGGAGAAACTCAAGCGCGGGGTAGGAAGCAAGACTGAGGGGCCTCAGACCGAGCTTTTGGAAAATAGAAAAGTCTCGCTCTCTGCCCCTCAGCCTAACTTCCTTTATTTCCTCACAAGTTTCTCCCTCAAACTTCGGGCTTCCAACCTGAAAAATGTATGGGGGAGGGGAATCCATGTTCCTCAGGATTTCTTGTTTTTCCCCGTCTCTAGCCCTGACGACACAGCCCCTTCCCTTCCAGTGCACTTTTACTCCTCGGCCAAAGACACAGTCGCTGCGGTTTCTCGTTCCCCAGCCTGACCCTAACTCCGGGATCACTCACTGCCTTCCCGGAATCGCCATCTTGCTCCCGTCTCCGCTGAACGTGGCCGACGCAAACGTAGCGCAGACGCAGACGTCGTCACGTAAACTCTCGCGCGGCTTTAGGCGGTCCAGTACCGGCTTCAGCGAATACTGTGGCCTTCGATTTTGTTTAGAAGCTGACCGGCTGCCTCGAAATCAGGGAGAAAAAAAGAAAAATAAAATGACATAATTTTAGGCCAGTGATTCGCTAACTGCAGTCCCAGAACCACGGAATTGGTGTTGTTGGGTGCCATGGATCGCTTCTGACTCAGCGACCCTCTGACCTTAACGAAACACTGCCCGGAATTGCGCTATTCTTACAATGGTTGCTATGTCTGAGCTCTTTTGGACTATGCACAAGCTCCTCATTTTTTTTAAGTTTCCGGATTTCCCATTCTTCGCAATGTTATCCATAATTTGTTATGATCCACACAGTCGAATGCCTTTGCACAGTCAACAAAACGTAGGTAAACATCTTTCTTGTATTCTCTGCTTTCAGTCAAGATCCATCTGACATCAGTAAAGATATCCTTCGTTCCACCACACCCGTTTCTGAAACCAGCTTGAATTTCTGGCAGTTGCCTGTCACTGTGCTGCTGCAACCGCTTGTGCATGATCTTCAGCAAAATTTTACTTCTGTGTGATATTAATGATATTGTTCGATAATTTCCGCATTCTGTTGGATCACCTTTCTTTGGAATGGACACAGATATGGATCTCTTCCAGTCTGTTGGCCAGGTAGCTCTCTTCCAGATTTCTTGGCATAGATGAGGGAGCGCTTCCAGCGTTGCATCCATGTGTTGAAACATCTCAATTGGTATTCCGTCAGTTCCTGGAGACTTGTTTTTTGCTAACACCTTCACTAAAGCTTGGACTTCTACCTTCATTACCATTGGTTCTTGGTCGTATTCTACCTCCGGAACTGGTTGAACGTTGACCAATTCTTTTTGGTACAGTAACTCTGGGTATTCTTTCCTTTTTTTTTTTTTTTTGATGCTTCCTGAATCTTTCAATATTTTCCAAGTAGAATCCTTCAGTGTTGCAACTTGAGGCTTGAATATTTTCTTCAGTTCTTTCAGCTTGAGAAATACCAATCATGTTCTTCCCTTCTGGTTTTCTCACTGCAGGTCTGCACATTTCATTGTAATACTTTGTCTTCTTGAGCTGCCCTTTGAAATCTTCTGTTCAGCTCTTTTACTTCATCATTTCTTCCATTTGCTTTAGTTACTCTGTTTAAGAGCAAGTTCCAGAGTCTCTCCTGACATCCATTTTGGTCTTTTCTTTCTTTCCTGTCTTTGTAATGACCTCTTGCTTTCTTCATGTATAATGTCCTTGATGTCACCCCACAACTCGTCTTGTCTTTGGCCATTAGTGTTCAATGTGTCAAATTTATTCTTGGGATGGTCTCTAAATTCAGGTAGTATATACTCAAGGTCATATTTTGGTTCTTATGGACTTGTTTTTATTTTCTTCAGCTTCAACTTGAACTTGCATATGAGCAACTAATGGTCTGTTCCACAGTCGGCCCCAGCCTTGTTCTAACTGATGATATGGAGCTTTTCCATCATCTCTTTCCACAGATGTAGTCAATTTAATTTCTGTGTTACCATCCGGTGAGGTATAGCTGCCATTTATGTTTTTGAAAAAGGGTATTTGCAATGAAGAAGTCAACAGGCTTGCAAAATTCTATCATGCTATCTCTGGTGTCATTTCTATCATCAGGCCATATTTTCCAACTACCAATCCTTTTTGTTCCCAACTTTCACATTCCAATCACCAGTAATTATCAATCCATTTTGATTGCATGTTTGATCAATTTCAGACTGCAGAACTTGGTAAAACTCTTCAATTTCCTCATCTTTGAGATTAGCGGTTGGTGCGTAAATTTGAATAATAGTCCTGTTGACTGGTCTTCCTGGTAGGCATATGGATATTATCCCATCACTGACAGCATTGTACTTCAGGACAGATCTTGAAATGTTCTTTCTGATGATGAATGCAACGCTATTCCTCTTCAATTTGTCATTCCCAATATAGTAGACTATGTGATTGTCTGATTCCCAATGGCCAATACCAGTTCATTTCAGTTCACTAATGCCTAGGATATGCGTTCCATTTCATTTTGAGTTGTGGCACATCAGCAAATGAAGGTCCTGAAAGCTTGACTCCATCCACGTCATTAAGGTCGACTCTACTTTGAAGGGGTAGCTCTTCCTCAGTCGTATTTTGAATGCCTTCCAACCTGAGGGGCTCATCTTCCGACACTATATCTGACAAAGTTCTGCTGCTATCCATAAGGTTTTCACTGGCTAATTTTTTTCAGAAGTAGACTGCCAGGTCCTTCTTCCTAGTCTGTCTTAGTCTGGAAGTTCTACTGAAAGCTGTCCACCATGGGTGGCCCTGCTGGTATTTGAAATACCGGTGGCATAGCTTCCAGCCTCACAGCAACACAAAAGCCACCACAGTAAGGCAAACTGACCCATGCGTGGTGGAATTAGTAAGAAATGCAAATTCTGGGGCCCCACCCCGGACCTGCTAAATCAGAAACTCTAAGGTGGGGATCAGCTTGTTTTAACAAGCTCTCCAGTTGATACTGATCCTTACTGAAATCTGAAAACCACTATGCTAGGCTGTTAATCTACCCACTACCTTTAGTGTGAGTATACCTGGCTCAGGGTAATTAGGCAAGACATAATATACAGTAAAAACCAACGAAAGCCAGAACCTGTGTAAGGCAGAAACCCGTCAAGAAGGAAAACGAAAATATTTTCCCCTAATAGAGAGTGATAGAAAAGTGGTAAGACTGCACTCTGTCAGAGGCAGAAAACTTTTGAGACCCAGAAAAGCAAGGTAGTCTCAAGGCAGTCCTGTTGAGTTCCGTCTCTCACAGGTTTCACTGTATATGCCAGTAATGATAACAATACTGTTCACGGTGTCACTGGGTATGGTGTCAAAATCATACCATACTTTTTTTTTTCTGTCCACATTCCATTTGTGCACCCACTAACTCTTGGTCCATTCAAAACTAGTATTGTTGTTGTGGTGGTGCTTAAGCAGTCATAGACAATATAGTTGTGCCTGTTTCAATAAAACTTTATTTACCATAACAGGTAGCTTGGCCAGATTTGGCTTGCTGTTTACCAGCTCCTGAGCTAAGAGAATTGAAAGTAGTTAGCTCAGAATCGAGGAAAATAGGAGTAAAGAAGGCTGGAAAGTACTCTGGTCTTAGCAGATCTCGTACAACAGGATGACTCTTTAAACTGTGAGCATGTGTTACTTTGCTTAAAATAAAAAGAATCAATAAAGGACAAAAATAAAGCCCCTGCCAGGGATGTCTGCTTCTTGCTTGAAGAGACTGAATGGGGAATTAAATACACAAAATTACCCAGTGGAGAGCTCAATATCCTACGTATCGTGAGTCTTGGAACTGGTCTATTGAATTCTGTATTCTCTCATTACTTCTGGGACTTTGTAATGAAGCAGTCAAGGGATTTTCCTAAAGCTTAAAGGCTGATTTCTCAGATGCAGTGTCCCAGAGAGTTTTTCACTTCTCAGCAGAGTCTACAGCAGATCAGGGGCACAGAGAAACCTCCTAACATTTTGGATCGCAAGTGTGGAAACTTTAGTGGAAGGTGCTTTAAGGACATAAGGTAAACCAGTAAAAATGTCATCACTACCACATTCCTGATTATTACACAACAGAGAAGTCCAACTGTCTTAGATTTCCAGAAACAATACTTCAAGGACAGGAAGAGTCTACCAGAATTGGATCCAAGGAAACTATAGGGATATCAGCACCCAAACTCAGATCTTCTATTTAATCTCTTGACATTAATATTACTCCACTACTCTTTCAGTCTCTGTTTCTCTTGGTGCCTATTGTTTTCCCCAGCCAAGTGGCCACTCACTCTCTATACCATTTCTCTATCTACAGTTTCTGCTAACTCGTAGCATCTGGAAGGCAGTACACTTCAACTTGTTTATGGTTCATCATGACACTTTGGCCTCTCTAAACATTTAATATCCTTCTAGACAGTACTGTTGCTATTTCCCAGTTTGATTTGTCCATGTTTGGGTACTTTTTATATTAGGTCGTTTCACAAATTGACCTCTCTTTAGTAAGGGTTTAACCCCAATTCAAACGACTGTGGCTGGAGAGTCAGGGTCACCTGGAACAAAATATGACCACCTAGAGGTACCTCATCAGTGAGGTCGTGGGCAGGACAGTGTAAGCTCAGGCAGTCAATGAAGGAGAGTTAAAATATGGTTAATGACTAGGAGATGGAACACCTACCGAGCGTAATTTTTATGCCTATGGGCAGAGAAATATGCAAATAATTAATTGATTTTGTGATGTTGAGAAGGGTCTTTTTAATAAGATCATGTAAGAGAGAGTAAGAACACAGAGTTGATGATGTGGGGTGGGGCTAGGCTGGAGTGGCATTGCATAAAACCTGACACACGAGAGGAATGAAAATGCCTTAAATTACTTGCAGAGTGTCTTCTGATGTAGTGTGTTCAGGATGCCTGTGGAATTTCAAGGCAGCTAGTTGCCTTGGTTATATTTAGATTAAGAGGGTTTTTAGTATATTCACAGAGTTGTACAAGCATCACAACAATCAATTTTAAAATATTTTCATCACCCCAAAAAGAAACCCCATGCCCATTAGCAGTTATTTCCCATTTCACCAATCACTACCACCCCAAGCCCTAGGCAACCACTAATCTACTTTCTGTCTCTATGGATTTTTATGTTCTGGACATTTCATATAAATGGAATCATACAATATCGTGGCCTTTTGTGACTGGCTTCCTATTTCCTGTTAATATAACCAAGACCATGGAAGCTCCATAGACAAATCCAAACTCCCTGAGGGACTGAATTGCTGGGTGGAGGGCTGTGGGGACCATGGTCTCAGAGAACATCTAGTTCAATTAGCATAACATGGAGGCAGAGACAAGATGGCGGAGTAGTCAGATGCTTCCCGTGGTCCCTCTGACAACAAAAACGTGAAAAAACAA